GTCACAAATGTCGAAAAGAACAAGCGATAGGCCTACCCCCCAAACAGTGCAGAAACTGGCCAAGTAAGTTACCACTGACGTCAGCGAAGGTAACTTAGTAGTAAGTTAAAACCGCAACCGTTGGCGATGTTGGGAGTGCCTCCATCAACAATAATTTAGAGAACCTTTCAATAGCCTAGGCCTAACTTACACTAAGATGTGGCAGCAATTACAATAAGTTTTAGTATAACATTTACGATATCTCGTGATCATAGCCATAATGGAACAAACTGCATGTGACAGAGACTGGGGTCTGCAATTACCTCAGTATCGTTTAGGCCTAAGTTAGGCTGACCTCAGTATCGCTTAGGCCTAAGTTAGGCCTATACCTAGTCTGCAACCTTAGTAAATAGCTTAGGCCTAGCCTAACTTAAGTCTTATCAAAGAATGCCTAATCCTATCCTCTATTCCTTGAGTAGTACAACACCTAAGTCACATTTTATTGGCCATTAGACATTCTGGCTCTGAAATATCCTACATTGAACCCTAGCTTAGGTGAGCCATTAAACAGGCTAGGCCTATATCAATGGGGGGCTAGGCGTGATACACCTAACTTACTTGGGCAAACCTTCGGTGGGCCTAGAATCTAAAAAAAAACTAACACTGAATCAATCAGCAAAAAAAATTAAAGAAACTAACGAAATTATCTCTAACTTTACCTGGCGTCTTCGAACTCGACAAAAGCAAAAGGAGGTCCTCTGCGGTTTTTTAAATCAACGAATGATACCTTCCCAAACTTGTAAAAAAGATCCTGAATGTCTTTAGTGCGTATATCTGGTGGGAGATTCCCAACGTATATTCTGCATTCACTACGGCTAGACATAGCGTTAAATTTTACTGTACGTAAGTTACAAAGCTAATAATTATCAACAACACTATGGAAATTGGAAAGCGATTGAACATTAACCAAGATGGCGAAAGGCGAAGCGAAATGCCGTAGCGTAGCCAGCCTAGCCTAGTCGCTAAAAAAGGCGGGTTGAGAGCAGTGTTGCCAGTTGCCACCAACTCTAGGCGAAAAGTCCCTAGATCTAGGAAATTTTGTCCCTAGAACGTCCCTTTCAGCTTTCAGCGGGGCTATAGAATACAATTATTGTCTACATGTTGTCCATTTGAGGTCCGGTTTGCGGTATTGTTCGTAACGATTTACAGTAATAACAACCAATAAGTAATTATTCATAGCTAAAATAAAAGTCAATACTTTGATGAATTATTTAAGACTATTACGATTTTAGGGTGTTATTTAGAATTGGAGATACAAGTCTTAAACTAAAGACGAACTTTAAAATTAAAATAATTTAATGTTAAATGAAGGTTCAAGACTAATTTTAATTTGTCAAAATTTATTAAGTGATTAATAAAATTAAACCCAAACATTTAATGAGTCTCTGTAATTTGAAACCACAAACAGATTTCTGAAAAGTTAAATTTAATTGTGTTAGCGTCTGTAGCTCCCCTAACAGCACTAGATATCCATTGAATATTCAATGTAGTTGAAATAAGTCTAAAGATATCTAAATGTAATTAAATATGTTTTTAAAATAAGTCCAAGAAATCTTTAAAATATCTGTTAAGATATTCTATAGATATTTAATAGATATTAAAAGTTTCTCAGTAGATATTTATATAATGTTTAGACGCAATATCCTAAAAATATTGTACATACATTCAGTACTAGATATCTACGAACAGATATCCTATAAATATCAATCGTACATTGACGATTGGATATTGATTATAAAGACGATAAATGCTGATAAGTGCATTATTGTTTCATCTAGAATATTTAATATTACAGTTAGCCTTATTAAAACACAGGATCTATAATAATCCAACAAATCAACAAACACTAATGAAACTAAAACTTAATTGTAGTTTTTATGTGGTTATTTTGGTAGATGAATTATAGTATGTTGTCTCCGTTACCCTAATCCGTGCTATGTTTAAACAAATCAAATAATTTTAATCAGCCCAAAGTGGACAAACAATTGCATTAGCGATGTTTATGAGAATATGATTACACTTTTCCAAAGGGAGTATTTCATTAAAGTCAAACTATTTCAGTCAGAAGGAAAGAAATGTGCATTACACCACGTAATATATAATAACACAAGTCTCACATGACCCAGAAGGTGTGAGAAACAAAAAAAACTGTTAAGCCATTCCGTAAAAACATTTTACAAATGACTATGAATGTATGATTAAACACCTTTTTATAATAATAATACATCTGCTTATAATAATAATAATAATAATAATAATAATAATAATAATGCAAATATTTTCTTTTTAGTTAAAATTCTTTGAGGAAATTAAATTGGTTGATCAATTTAAGGGTAAATATTAATTAATCATATAACAATCATAATAAATAACATTACTAATGGTAATTAATTAATTTATATTCAGATATCAGTATTCTCTCCAACTCCTAGAAAAAAAATTAATTTAACAACTTGATGCCTAAACAGAATCATAGTATCAAAAATATTTAAGTATTGTGACTATTATATCTGTTGGCTCCTCTTTAACCGCTTGAAAACCAGTAATATCAACAATCACAGGTAGCTCAGAGGTAAGGTAAGAAATATCTGCTGAAAGTAGAAATTAGTGACATTTAAACTTCTTCACAATATCTAACAAATATAAATATCTGGATATTGATCATCTATAGATATCTTAAATATCCAAGTTATATGTTTATAAGATATTCTATAGATAACTCTGTGCTGTGTCTGTGTCGTCTCCAACTAGTCCGTGTTTAGTGATCAATAGCTCAAATTGAATGCCCTTCCCCTTGCATCACTGGATATTTTAAGGCTAGAACGAACTGCAAGCGTTAATAAGAACAGGAGGAGAGATATTAGAAAAATAATCTTAAAAATGTTCAAAGTACGAAACGCCCATAAGAAATGTATGGGGAGAGTTTTTGTTTGAAAATATCTTTAAAACGAAAAAAGATATTTAAAAACGGATTTTGGCTTTGGATTCAGAGTAAAAATATAGTTTTAATAATGTGTCACAACACTATCATTAAATTTATAGTCATTTGTGCAACTAGTGAGCAAAGAGAGCAATTGCCTCACTCGAGAGAAATCCGTACTTACGAGCCGTAGGCGAGTAAGGAATAGTTTATCGAGTGAGGCAATTGCACTTTGCACTCGAGCTTTATATTTTTTCCTACAGTTACCATAAAACAAATAAATTGGTAAAGAAACGTAACATATTTTTACATAGAAGTGAACTTTTAATATGACATTTAATGAAAGTAGCATTACAGTACAACAGCTGACCAGCTGATTTACAGCCAGTGCTACAACTGCTGCCAACGTATTTCGCGCGCATACGACCTTGTCTGCATGTTACGCGCTCACTATTTCGTGCCTTCACGTTGAACATCTGGAGTGAGACAAAGTAATTAGAGTGAGACAATGTTAAAATTGTCTCGCTGTTTCACTGATGAGCGAATTGGCCACTTTGCTTTCTCAAATCAGTGAGAGAACATGTACATTGTTAGGTAACTGTAGGAAAACAATGCTTATTTATATCCAATATGCTGGATCCAAGATGGCGGCCAAAACGCGTTCCCTATTGGAATGAAGTACTAACCACCCAATAAATATATCATATCAGCGGTGGTCTCAAGTCAATTTCTCGAAAAATGTGCGTACAAAATGCATGTGGTAACTTTTTTAATTTGTCCAATGTTGGGAAAAGCCACCATTTTTAATCGTGATTTTAGGGGTTTTCCATGCACCGATTTTGGCAAGTTTTTAGTATATCACTCTGCACACCCAACACTACAAAATAAAGCCATAAAACTATTTCTTGCAATTTTTAACGATCCCTGCGTTGTTTTTTTTAGTTTGCTTAGACTATAAATATTTTTTACATTTTTTAAAATTTTCTCATATTTGGCAAAATAAATTTTGTTTGACAACTTCATATTCGTGTTCAGCACCCCCACGAATATAAAGTAAGCCTTAAAAAAGAAACCATAATCTTTAATCTAAAAAGAGCTATAACCTGTCCACTTCAAACCCTTTTAAAAACACATTTGATTGGACTAGTAATGACATGCCAAATTTGGACAATTTTGTTGTTACATCTCTTTTAGTTTTAAAGTTATAAAGACGTTCTAAGACTTAATTGTCACCCTGTATATACATTAAACATTAGTACCCTTTTTTTTCTTTATTGGATTTACACACGTGCGTGGTCGCTATACAGGGTTAGGCAAATGTCTGGAACCCCCCAGTTAACTTTTTAACGCATTGCAGTAGGAAAACCAAACTCCGGCACATATTTACAACATGAGAAAATTTTAAATTAGACACTCTGAGATTATGCACTAATTATGCATATTAATTCATAAACAGCAACGACTTCTTCGTGGGACACTCTGTCGATTACGGCTCACTATTTGTCACAACTCTAATATTAATATTCATTGAAAAGAAAGATTAAGATAGTGACCTTAGTAGATGATGAACTTAGTGTCGAAATGCATTAGTCAGTTTAAAAACTTAAAAAGGTTACTATAGTTTTTCTTTCAATTTATATAAATATGCTACTGTTAGATTTGGATTATTTATTAAGATTATTTAGGTGACATTCACACATACTAGTATGGTTTTCTGTAGACCAATGAATAGTCCTTAAATTATATTGCATACATCTTATTTTGATTAGTCAGCCAAAAAGCTGTTTCAACGTTATTGGAAAATCGGTGTTAATGGTTGTCGACGCTGTGGACCCCACTCACGTTTTATGGATAAGAGCTCTTATGTATGACTATATAATATGCCTGCCAAAGTAGACAAAAATAGTGGATTGTCCAATGTACTAATTTCTTCTGCTGTTCTCGTGTTCTGTCTGTTCTACAATCAGTGTTTGTTTTGTTTTTGTTAGTTTATCTCTAAAGCTGCTCTCAGTCTCAACTATACCAGTTGGAGTTGACAGTTACTAGTTGTGTATGGCGTTATAGAAGCTATGGAGTGGGCCTAGAATCCTTAATATTGTATAAATAAAGGATACTACGGCAAAAGTTCTTTCAAGCCTCTACATTTATATCAAATTTTATTTAATGCTGTGCATTGACTGACGATTTAACAAGGTAACTTATCAACTAACCTAAAACTCATAATGGTTGCATCTAAGCCTAGGGTATTCGGACTTAGCCTATTTCGCACTCTGTATGAATAATTTAAGCTTTTTTCTGTGTTTTTCAGTTATAGCTCTTCATGCAACTTTTGTAAGTTGAAATAATATCAACTTAACTCCAAAATATTTGAAGTTATTAGTTATGTCATGCTAATCCTAGAAAATAGTTTCAATCAACAGGATTGACCCATTTAATCTTGGAACAACATTTAGGCCTAGTCCATCCTACCATTTTCCTCATTAATTTAGTACATTCATTGACGCTAGTTCATTGAGCCGCTTCCTCAACGCTATTGGGTCATCACCATAATGTTATGAACAACACTCAAAGCAACAAGACCATTCTGTATTCTATTTCAAACATTGAGTTAACTTAAGTTTTTTTTATACACCTAAAACATACATGTAAAAAAATGCTCAGGAGACCTACCAATTTAAGAGATTTTGAATTAAAATTTCAAGTTCTCATTAAGTACTTTTAGAAGCAAACAGTTCGTAAATGCCACTCATAAATTTGAAAAATATTTTTGTTTGGCAAAATGCTGTTTCTTCAAAGTTAGGGCTAGGAATACATGTTCATCTTACACCTTAAAATGTATAAGTTAAGCCTAGTGATTCTTGAAAATATTAGGTAGGCTATAATAAACAGTAAGTAAAATTGAATCCATCTGAATTAGTGGCCTGGACCAGTTGGCTGACAAATTAATTTGTCGTCAGGCCACATAAACTTTTAACCGTCTTCAAATTAAATTGATTACCCAGTATGTGTTTTATTGTTCTTGTCTAATCCGTTGGCGTTTTACAGAGGAATTATATGGGAAAGTAATCGCTTTTAGGGAAAGCGATCCAAAACCGTATGTGTTTATTTATTTATTCATACGGTAGGCCTATACACCATTTTTACAATTAACCATGATTATATGCTAGGCGTATATGACAGTTAAATGCAAGAAATAAGGTAATCCACAAAATGACCAGATAATAGGCTACTTGTAAGTTACCATATCAAGAGTGAAAACTTAACATATTTCTTTTTTTTCCAAACGGCAATGAAACTTAAAATTCTGATATAAGATTAGGTGATACGGAAAAATTAATAAGTTTCTTTGGCTTTTAACAGACACAATACAAAATGTGCTGTGAATCAAACCCATCCCTCCCGCACGGAAGTCTGAGACGCTAACCACTAGGCTAGCAACACACCCATGTTTTAAGGCATTACGGCAATAACTGTAGTATCTAGCTATCAAGGTCCTTAATTACCTTCATTACCTCCTCCTTGACCGAGACCAGCAGAGCCGGATAGGTTGCGTCAATTTTCTATTTACACTATATAGGTACATAAAAACTTCCATAGATTGAAGTATGAACTATATTAAAAGTACTTTGGCGTTGGATGATTTTGCCGCAGGCTTATTGACTTAAAGTTTCTCATTAAAATAGTCTTGTAGGCTGTAATGGTTTCTCCCTCAACAAGCTATTTAGGGCTGTACGAAAGGCCGTTTCCCCTTGGTTTTTGATTGACGTAGGCAGGTGGTTATAAATCTTCAGCGCAAGCGTTGGGAAAGAGTTTTTGGTTTTAGACAGCCGGCAGAAAGGTATGTCCAGGTCGGAGCAATGTCTTGTACCATGGCTATGAACAGTATTTCTCGTAGGGAATTTAAGTAGGTTTGCCTTCACATGGTCGACTGACAAAAAAATTTAATGACTGACATTAGTTAAAATACTGGTGCTGACAAACAGAGGTTAGCAATGGTCATTTATTTTACTAGAAGTTAAAATACGTAGGCTACTGCTTTCTTCTGCAATTTGAGAATTTCATGACATGATGGTGCATGGCCCCAGAGAAGGAGACCATAGCTTAAAATACTATGGAACAGAGTGTGGTACACTATAATCAAATAAGGTTTACTGACAAGCCTAGTCAACTTCCGAAGTAGATGGACCACCCTGGACAGTCTTTTACCAACTGATTGAATGTGTTTACCCCAAGCAAGTTTTAGATCAATTGCAAAACCAAGAAGATTTACGCTGTAATTTTTGACTCGGTTGTCCAGTTGAGTTCAAATTTGTGGAATTGTATTCTGCTAGTAAAGGCCTTTAATTCTATGTATATATAAACCTATGCTCCCATTTAAGATTTCCTTCTGACTCCTTGCGGATATGACAGAAAACTTATAATTCCTTCATAAAGTATATTTTTAGGTGTCGTGTTGATGTACCAAATCTTATTGATTTATCTGTTACCGTACAGAACATATTAAACCCAAGGTGGGACTTTATTTACACCCTGTATTAAATCTCATAATAATTCTTAATCATAAGTTAATCAGTAAGGTAGGCTAATTTTTAACATAAATTTAAGCATGGATGTAAAGTTAAAGATGTTGGCTATCCTGCTAACTCAATGGTAATATTTGTTACTGGGCTTGTAGTATAATTCTTGTTTTCTTAGTTGAACGTTCAAGGTCAGCTGATGAGCCATTTTATAAACGAATAAAAAACATAATTTTTTTAACAAACAATAGGCCTACTTATATTCAAAAAGTAGATAAGATTTCATGCATTAATGAAATTAATGTAGGCCTACCTATCAGTTATGGTGATTTTTAATGACCAAAATTATATACCTATACCTATATATTATTAAGTAAAAAATTAAAAAAGAAAAAGGATACCTCCTACTTATGTTTATCTATATAATCACCTGTGTAAATATATATTTGTGTGTTATTGTTGAAAATGCCCAATTTTCATTACAGCCATTGTAGATCATAAAAAAGAAATTTGAATAATTCAAAAGAAATATGTAACTTATATTGAAGCATAGTTTACGATTAAAGGTTACAGAGGAAATCACAATTTTTGTGTGTTTTAGTTGACAATGATGAAATCAAAGGAGAAGCATGAAGAACCAGAAGAATGTATTGGTTTGGTTGATAATATTCGCCCTATCATTGTAATTCAAGGCAGTAAAGAATCTGATTTCATGCAACAAAAGTAAGTAACTTTGAGTATTGTTGTAACTGATTTTGAATTCCGAAATGGAGTTGATTAGGTTAATAAATTGCATGAAAGAAAAGTGAGTAAATAAATTAAAAATTCCCTTGCACGTATATTTCACCTTGGGATTCTGCAACCACATAGAAAAAGGTAGATCTAGAACTGTTCATTGGATATTGCACATCTCTTAACTTGCTTAAAGTTGAGTTTTTGTATGTTTTAACCCTTTAGGTGCTATGCGACGATATATTGTTGTGCGTATTTCCCCGGAAAGTGCTATGGAACGATATATCGCTGTTCACGTTTTATCCGAAAAGTGCTAAGCGACAATATAGCCAATATATCATGCTGGCGCGACTTTCGATCGTGTGAGTTTGAATGGGCATATCGGTTGTCGTTTCGAAAAGCGATGGTTTCCTTCGATTCCTCATCGTGGCCCGATATATCGTTCCTTAGCATTTTTGAGATGAACTATTTTTTTTACTAATTTTTTTTCTTGCACACTAGACCTCGCCCCTGTGGCAAGCCTAGCACTTTTTCGGACAAAACAAGTAAATAACTCTAGAATTTTTTGATAGTTGTAAAAAAATTCTAGCATTGAAAGGGTTAACTTGATAAAGTAAAAACTCTTATTGAGCCCTTTGGTAAATACTGAACAAACTTGAAAACTAGTTATTTACAAAACTATGTTTGCACATCAAAGTTGTATTTAGGAAGAAATTAACAGACAATACTTGCAATACAGTAGAACCCCTCATATCTAGCCATCGCGGAATGAAGCTAATAGTAAACTAAAAAAAACACACAAAAAAACACACACACAAGTTATGATTTAAAGATTCTGAAATAAAGTGTTCAAATATTGTGCCTTCAATTACATCATCTTCACAATTTTCGTTTATATTTGGGTTTCTCCATAGTCCCTTTTTGTGGTAAAATGATAATGATAATTATAATAATAATTAAAATAGTTATTACTAATAATAATTGTTAGTAGTATTATTTAATGAGGGGTTGAAAAAAATTCAAGAACAGACCAAAAACATTGGGAACCAGCTTTAAAGAATCAATGTCTGCCCTCTAGTAGCTTTCCCTCCAAGGAAGGGCTGTCAGCATTGTCATTTTGAGGCTTTATGAAAGATACAACATACTATATTATTAATCTACTACAGTAAAATGGTAGAATTCCTTTGAAGTTCATATTCTAGAAATTAGATTTTTTTGCATGTAAACTTTCTTATGTTTTATTTTCCTTTCAGCACTATCCAAAAAAAGACTTTTAGAAATATCTCTATGAATCTGTGTAGTTAAATACTCCTGAAATAGGAAAGTGATTGTTATTTTTATTTTAAAAAAGTGTGAAGTGTTATACTGTACGGTAGCACTTTTTAAAGACATTGATCAAAACTCCATCAACAGATTTTGATTGATCTCAAAAAATATATTTATAGGTGCAATTTCCTCAGTCACCCATCATGCCTCACGAAGCACAAAATGTTAAAAAGCTATTTAAATTTATGTAAAGAATTTTAGATTGAACTTTGAAAATGTTTTCCTCTACGTTTTGGAGAATCGCCCATATTTTTTTTTATCTGTAATTAAATTAATTTGGGTTTAGAAGAGTTGAAAATTTGAAGCATTCTAAAATTGTTAACAAATTAAACAACTATATAAATATAGCCCCATTATTTAGGTTATTTGTTTGGATCTAGTATTCTACTAGAGATTATTACTAAAAATTGTTTAGATTGCTATCCAGTTCAATTTTATTATACGGACTATAAATTAGTAATGAGGTTGTTAAGATTATTTGCTTTCCTGATGTTATAAAAGCTTGAATATCACTCAAACAATTTGTGATTGAGTGGGACATTGCTTAATCACCATCAGCAGATTTTATTTTTGTGTTAAAAGCCTGAATAATAAACTGCTGGTTAATGTGGATACAACTGTGATACCTATAATATAATATTGACTAATATCAAGAAATGTAATTATCTGTTGCAAAGTAAAGAAGAATGAGTGTTTTGAATAACTTCTTGGAATTATATTGCAACGGTTTTAATTTTCCATCACACTCTCTTAGCCTATTTGAGACACAGTGCAGGTGATTTGTAATATACTTGTTACAAATATCAAAGGGAATAAAATAAAGAACTGCTTTTAAGTGTTTAAAAACATGCTTCATATAGGTAAATTATCCATATTTCATTTACACCCTTTTCTGGACATGAATCAATAAAACCGGAAGACATCAATAACACTGTTCAAGTAAATTTGGGATGAAATAGACAGGAAAGAAAAGACAAAGTAAAGCCTTTTTAACACCACACACAGTTTTTATATTGACATAGCATATATGTGTATAATTGTGTTACTTTTATCCGTCCTTATTTTAAAAATTTAGAAATTTCCAATATACATTTATCTTATCTCAGTTACCACAGTTGTGTGTAAATTGCTATCATATCTGATGTTTTAACAGGAAAGTAAGAGTGTTTCCATTGTTTTTATGGTTATTGTTTGAATTTTTACATTCAGTTTGGATATCAATACCTCTGTAGTAAAATGATACACTTGGTTTTAGGATTTGTAAAAGACATTTTCCACTTTGTATCTTAATGTATGTACCTTAAAACTTTGAAATTGCGATATCTTTATTCTTTACTCAATTTTATCGTGATAGGCCCTGTAAACAATTAACAATTTTGTATGAAAAGCGCAGAGGTTTTTATTCAGTAGGAAATGGACACAAAATTTAATTGATGGTTGTACCTTGTTTAAGTGTGGACAATTTTTTATTAATACAATGTTTACTTTACCAGATGTCAAAGGAAGCTTAATCATGATATGTTTACATCTAAGTACAATGTATTCCTAACTAAGAAATGAAATATGTACTTACTAAGCAGTTAATAATTGTAGATTTTATGGAGTAAAAATTCAATTTTAGTTTTAAAACCTTCACCAGCCTTCACATATTGCTTTCCTGCATATGGAAACTGCATCTCTAAGGAGGACATGGCAAGAGTTCAGAGAATTCAAAATTCTGCCATAAGGTTCATTTTTGGCCTTAGTCGCTTTGACCACGTGTCCTCCTACCGAGATGCTGCTAAGCTCATCCCAATGGATGACATGTGCAGAAAACTGACCTGCTGCCTGGTCCACAAAGTGCTCACGCTGGGAGAGCCTCATTACCTCAGTGAGAGGCTGAAGTACAGGAGGGAGATCTGTCTACGTAGTACTCGCTCTGACCTCAGGCTTCACTTTCCTAAAGTTAGGCTTGAGGCTGGAAGAAGGTCTTTTTCTTACTTCGGCCCGCAGTTGTACAATAGCCTCCCTCAAGTGATTAAGGGTTCGAAATCTTATAACTCATTCAGGGCGGCAATGAAAAAAACAAGTGTAAAATTTATGTTTTAAATCATTCTGTTGACATTTCTTGTATATACTTATGTAAATATATTAGGATAGTTTAGATATAGTGACTTGAGTTAGTTTGAAAAACATGTATCATGAAACTCGCTCGTAAATAAAGGCATTTTTATTTATTTATTTAAAACATAATTCAAAATATGCACGAGTTATCATCCCTGTGGCAGAACTCATAAGTGTTCAAGATCATTTTTGAAACAACATATTGTGTTAGCAGTTGCAATATTCTTTTCCTTTACCAAATCAGGCAAAGAAGTATTTAATACAATTTAAAATTAAATTCATAAAAAAATCCAAAACTTATTTTTACTCCTAAAATTCAATTGCTTAATTAGTTTGTGTTTTGAACTTATTTAATTAAATGTTGAATCAGACATTTTCAACAATATTTCTTTCAAGAATTTTGTATGGTAGCCTCTCTTCTGAAAAATGAATGTTGAAATAGTTATTATTAGTGAAAGGTCACTACAATGAATAAACTGAACTATTGTTATCAATTTTACTTTTACTTCTCTTAAAACTATTTATATGAGCATAACTCAACCAAACCAGCTGTAAAATGTAATTGAAGCTTACACGTACCGGTACTGTAAGGCAGCATTCATACTATGGAGAACCGTTAGGTCCAGTCAATGGCCAAGCAGTCTAAGGCGTTGTACATTGTTCAAAAGGTAACTAGTAAAATTTCTACAGGACTATACATTTTAAATGGGATGTAATTTTTATGTAATTTTGATAGTTTATTAACGTCCTTGACGTCGATAGGTTCTGTGAAGAGCTTCAGTTTGAAGCTTCAGCAATAACATCAACTGATCTTAATACCGTGATTTTGTCCTTATATCGCTCACCTGACGGAACTTTATCACAATTCCTTGACAGTCTTGAGGATCTACTACAGTACCTACTATCGGCCAAACCAGGCTACAAGTTCGTATTGGCGGGTGACTTCAATGTTGACTTTGGTTCTGGAGACGCAGATGACTGTGAGCTGCAAAACTTGCTGCACTCTTTCAATATGTATTGCTCGAATTTTGAACCCACTAGGGGCAGAAAATGCCTTGATAACATTGCTGTGAATTTCTCCAAAAACTTCTTCTTTGTCAGCATTGACAACTTTTCTCTTTCAGATCATTAGGCGGTGTGTTTAAGTATAAATATTGCAATTCAGGTAGAACAAACTTCAAACCAAGCTGCAAAAAGAATTTATAGCCATTTTAATCAATCTAAATTCATCTCTAATGTTAGCAGCATAGACTGGCCGGCTCTGGCGACTCGGACGTGCATGCAGGCGATGAAATATTTTCAGCTATGTTCAGCCGGCTTCAAATAGTGGTCGATAATTGCTTTCCGCTTTAGACAACTTCTAATAAAAATTATCAAAGTAAAACCCCTGCTCGTGGATGTCGATGGTTTACTGAGGAGCTACGCTTAATGAGAGAGACAGTTTTGATGGCTTTTGACGCGTACAAGATATCCAATAAGGGAGGACAGAGAGACCTATGTGACTCTCAAACGAACCTATAAAAACGCTCTTACATCAGCCAAGCTCAATGCAAATGTTGAGG